TTTTTTTAACTTTATCTTTGTGATAATATCTTCATGAGAACTTAGTTTTAATAGATAAGAAATGTTTATTTCATAATAGCTCCTATCGTATCTTGAATGAATATCAATAAGAATGACCAACAGTTATTTCAAATTAAACATTTATTGTTTGTTTGTTTATTTGTTTATTTTATGTCAATTAAACTAGATCAAAATAGAGTGACTCAATTATAATTCAAAAATCTTTTGAGCTCTTTTTATTTTTAGTTTGAGAAAGATCTATTTCTAATCATACAATTAAAGTTAAACGAATGTCAATGATCTCTCGTGCTTCTTCTACTAAATTGCAATCTAAAACATTTATGATCTATTCTTTCATTATATCAAAACTACACTACCGATATCTTGACTTACGACTTCTATGATGAGAGATACATTTTTGCAAAAATTGAATTGCTTCTCATGAACAAAATAAATGTATATTTGTTGAAATCCACCAAATTTTGCATGATGGCTACCCAGAACAATGATTGCAGTCGCCGAGCCGATTAAAAAATGGTACTGTATACTATCGTTGCATACAATTTGCAGTCGTACATAGCTATAAATTGATGTTTGGTAGGTGTAGTATTACGACCTTATTTTATCACACCATACACAGTTTATAACGGTCTGAAAAACAAATATCCGACCGTTTACAATAAAGTGAAATACGATTATAATACTGCGCCTACTAAACAGCAAAAAAAAACATCTAAAAACAGGTGTTTACTAACGTATTTATTTCACCTGGATGTGTCCTTCATCTCATTATTGACAAATAAATATTGTGGATATTCTGTGTGGTTGAATGCCTATTCATAGATACTGATGAAAAGCACTCTTTTAATCCAGCTACGAATGAAAAATAGTTACACAATTACATGTATCGAGGTGTATACCTCTATACTTGTATATTTACATGCAGTGTACTAGTATTCATATTGCGTCAGTTCTTTTTTTTATTTTTCTTTCTTTTCTTCATTCGTTGGATATGTAGATGAAGCTCACCAATCCATGAACTTGTACATAATCGTTCTATTTTAACTAACAATATGATCTAAGTAGTTCTTCTATCTGTTTTTTTCCTTTTACAGTCTTCATATTTGATCTACGAAGGTAAAATGGTTTTTTTTTTTATTGAAATAAAGTACTTTAAAATTGCACTTAGAATACTATGTGTCTTCTATATAAAGTAAATTTTATGATTGTAAAATAACTGGTTTCTTTAATATTGAACACATTAGTGTTTCGACATCTTATTAATACTTTGAAGTTAAATTTAAAATATTGTGAATAAATTTTCATTTAACTAACACTATTTTTTTACATTGATTAAAATTCTAATCAGACTTGAGTTCATTTTTAACTCAATCCAAAATTTGATATCGAACGTCAATCTATAGATTTTAAACAAATATAGTGTAATATTGCGAAAAATAAACTCTTCCTCCGTTGTGAAAATCTGATGCATCATCTTAGTTCGTAAGACCCCCTAGCTACACATTTGTATCTGTATAAATTGATTATGTTATCTTTGATAGTTTTGTCTACTTGTTTTTTTTCGTATTTCTGGAACATCTTGAAAGTTTTCTTATTTCTATATGCATGAAGAAAATATTAATTACTCGATCAAATCATATTGTTTCCATTTTGTTTATCTTGCATCTTATTCACAAAATTTCCGTTGTTGATGAAATGAAACATTTTCACAATGATATTTCATTAATACAAATTATTCTTTCTTGTTTTTTTTTGTATAGTAAAAATCGTTCTTGACAAAAGAGATCTATCTAATTAAAACGTGTATCTCAAGTCAGACAAAGTTGATTTGAATTTTACTGTTAAACTTTAGCTCATTTTTCACTTCTCAAAACAATAAAGTAAAGTTCTTGTACTTTATCGCAAAAGTTTGTCTATAAGATTTCACGTAAATTACACTGAAATTATATACATCAATGAAGAAGTCATAAAGATTTAATACTTAAACCAATAAAAACCTAAGAAAGTTTTCGTATTCAAGCGCATAAAAATTACCCAAGATGCTGTTTCAAAGCTGTTCGAAAGACAACACCTTTGTTTGACTGATTTTCAATTTTTTCATTCAAACGGGAAGTCTTCTAACTGATACGCTGCTTTTGAATCAAGTTTTCACACATTCTATAAACCTAAATGAGCTATGAATATCCTGAAAACAGTTCAGATCCATAGCTTATGCTGCGTAGATATAACACTTTTACGTTAGGTTTTAAATGAATACCGTAGTTCTCCTCGGGAATACTAGAAAAATTAATTTTCGAATTTTGACTTCAAACTTTACATCAAGACAGGCCTGAACGACAATAGTTTTTTTTGTAAGTTTCAGATCTTTTCCTTGTTCCTATTCTAAGATACAACAAAGATAAAAGTGTGTTTTACCACGCTCATCATTATTAAAAAGAAGAGATATAGAATAATAAAACTTTACTCTCCCTTTATTATCATTTCATTAAGTCTTGTAGTATTTCCTGTTCATAAACCTTAATTGAGTATATAAACGGAATGAACCTTGAGGCTAAATGTTTATTATTCTACAGTAGTATTTAAAACGTTCAAGCATAAATCTTCACTTAATGCCTTATTCCGTTCATATAGAAAAAAAAGGTTTATGAATAGAAAGGGTTTATATAATACTAATACAGGGATAATGCAGATTTATTATTCTACATTCTTTTTCACAGTGATATACACTGACAGATTCGAAATTCTTACTTCAGGATGGAAGCAAATTAAGAGACGAAACTGTTACAAAATACTACTCTCCTTAAGGTCTGCCTCTATACAAAGTTTCACGTCAAAATTCGAAAACTAGGCTTTCCTAACAGGGTGGACAGAGCATTTATTTCTAAAAACTAACATAAAAGTTTAGTATCTTGGCAGCAATTAGCTAAGAGTCTGAACACTTTTCAGGATATTCTCATAGCTCATCTGAGTCTACACAAAACATGTCGTCTCCAGTCAATAGCAATTTATCAGTTGGAGAATTTCCATCATAAATTACAAGCTAAATGAATAGAAAATTATATCATTCGATAATAAATGCTCTTTTCAACAATATGTAACTTTCAAGGTTTTACAAGAAATATAATGAAGAAAAGAAAACTGTCAAAAATCATTTAATCAATATATACATATTTAAATGTAAACAATGAATTCTTTTAGAATCAATACAAGAATAACAAGACCTATATGAAGATAAATATTCTACAAAAAAAAAAAAAATGAAGTATAATAATAACTAATTATAACAAATCATCATCGGAATCTGTATCACTCGATGACAAATTTGTTGTATTTGTTTCTTCATTTAATGTAGAAAAAATATCTGATGCAAATGATGTTGTATCATGTTTTGGTGGTCGTACAGCTGTTGTAACAGCAGTATACGATGCAGATGTACTTGGTTGTGCAGATGAATTAACAACTGTTGTTGTATTTATTGTTGAATTTTGTATATTTAATTGTTGTTGTTGCTGTTGTTGTTGTTGTAATATTTGTTCACTTAAACGGCCAAGAAGACCACGATTCATAGCAATATTTGTTGGGTATGGTCGTCGAATATCTCCTTGTTGCCAATTATCTGGTGCTATTGTTGAATAACATGATGCTAATTGATGTGCATAACGAATAATTGTTTCTGATGGAAATGTTTTAGCACGACGTATATTTGATAATTTTTCACGTGCTTGATAAACCGCTGATGAAAGTACTTGTACAGCTTGTAATAAATATGTTTGTAAACAACGTAATGCACGATCACATTTAAGAATTTCATCACGTTTTATTTGTAATTGTCGTTCTAATTCTTGTTGTTCACGTACAATTTGTATTTGTTCTGTTAAATAATTTTGTCGTTCAATAAACATATCAATTAATGCTTGTGTATCAAGATTACTATTATTATTCGTTGTTGTTGTTGTTGATGATGATGATGATGAATTATACAATTGTGAAATTATTTCACGACATATTGTATCCATTTCTTGTAAAAGTAATTCTAATTTTCGACGAGTACCAAGATTTGGATTTTGTACAATTTCAGCCATTCTATTTTATTTGGAATAATGGAAATGAAAATCGAATCGAATGAATCTATAATAATATTTTTGTCGTTTTCTTATTTCATACATAGAGATTGAAATACATATATATATACGGTGTCCAATAAAAATTTTACATGTCTTTGCTGACCTCTATATTTATTTATTTTTATTCTTTCTCGGTATTTATTGGATTCATTTGACAGACAGCAGCTGATTAGCTCCTCTCTCTCTTTTTATGCTAGAGAAAGGACGACAGCTTGTCGCATTCTTTTTCTGTACCCGTTTGCCCTCTTGTTTGTTAATATGGCGTTATATATTTATGATTAAGAAGACTTATAGCTTATATTTTTATACATATATATGTATTGTTTTCTTTTTTGAATAGATGAGATTAATATTCTATTATTAAAAAAAAAAATTCTTATATCGAGCGTGAGTGTGTGAAAAGAATATATTCATCTTTTGCACATGAAAATGGCTCTTGGACCTCCAGTTTCAACAACAGCTTTTGTTGTTGTTTATAATCCATCACAAGTAAAATATTCATAAAAGATTATTATTGAATCTTAATATTTATTGTTATTTTATTTAGTACATTCATAGTATTACAAATGGACAAAATGCTGAACGAATTGAAGCACTTAAACATTTGTTTGAATGTATAACACATTCGGATATTGATCTTGTATGTTAAGACACACACACACACACATATATATATATGTATTGTTTTGATAAAATAAATTTTATTTATTATAGATAACTTTAGGAGGTATTTGGTTATGTATAACAGGTTTGTTAACAAATGAAGAACAACAAGGTTTAATGAATAGTGAAATTCGTCTATGTGCATTTAAATGTATATTAGAATTAATTAAAATAGAAGTAAGTTTATTTCGATTAATATTCAAGTTCAGAAAATCTTCGTAATCCAGTTGATTGACGAGGAATTTGTGGTTTTGACGGATTATTGTTATGTAAACTTTTACGAATTCTTGGAAGAAAGGGACGTAATGATAATGATTTAAACCATGTACGAACAGTTTTTAATGATCGTCGTCGATCGTTTGTTTTAAGTTTTGTAGAAGTTGCAGGTAATGACGATGATATCATTATTTCCGGTGTTGAAATTGATCGATTGTTTGGACTGATATATCTAACAGTTGTTATAGGATGAAGTTTTTTTGTATGATGAGGATGAATAAAACGATCGAAGATTTGTTTTCGCAAATGACGATGAGTAGTAGTAAGGTCAATCGAAGATGAAGGTAATTGTATTTCCGAACGAAATGGATAGGGTTCGATATTTTTGTTTGGATCCGTCTAAATTAGAATTTTAAAAAAATAGTAATTTTTTTTTAGAGTTTTGAATAAATTTCTTTTTTTACCATTGTTTCATCATCAGTCTCTTTGTTTGGAATAATATTAATAATATCTTGTTCCGATGTTGTTTCGTCATCAGTATCATTTTCAAGATAACTATGCTAATGACAAGAAAAAAAAAGATTTTGTTTTTGAACTATTTGAAATATAATAATAATAATTTATAAATTCTTACCAAAGGATCTTCATCATATTCATTGTCTAGGTCATCAAAAGCAGTTGCAAATGCAACAGTTTTTTTTTCTGGACTTCTTGCTATATCAGATGATTTAATAATTGATGGACGACGTGGTAAAGATTTTTCTTGTTCTTGATGGATATTTTTATTTTCAATATTATTTGCTGATCGATGTAAATGTAGTAAATTGAGAAAAGACGTTCGTATTCGTTTTAGTTTTGGGTTTGTATTCGAATGATGTAAATGATGATTTTCCCTACTCGTTCCATTTATTAATGATTGGTGAAAAAATCCTGATTGATTGGATGTCATTTTTTTTTTAATTAAAATCTTTCAATGTCATTTTTCTTAGACTTGTTCAAATATCAAACTAAAAAAAAAGAATTTAAACTTGTTTTACTTCCTACTCTGTTCTATAACGATAATAGGCAAGCGCAAAAAACTATATATGTAGACTTTTATTTTTTAAATATTTTACATTGATATCCTTTATTTTTTTATTCACTGATTTTATATGCATAATTAAAGAGTAATTACCTGACGATATGAGTTCTCTAGAAAAAAATGATACGAACATTTCATCGATGTCTGTGTCAATTATCATGCTGTTAACAATCATCTACCTGTGTCATTCGTGACTTGTTTTTTATGCATAATGAGAAATGTGCTGAAAAAAAAACAAACATTAAATATAATAGCAATCATTACAATTTACCTGATTTTGTCATATAGCGTAAAAATAAAAATAAGGACGTCATAAGATCTAGATATATATACAGAAGAGAAAAAATAATCAATGAGAATTTCATGCAAATTTAATCAAGATTGAAAATCAGTTTTGTTTTTCAATGAAACTTTCGTGCGCATTTAACGAAAACAGCACTTCATTTTATGATGAAATGACAAGGTATTGAATTAAATATGATATTGATTTTTATGTTTTGTAACAAATCTCTCTCTCTCTCTCTCTCGTAGTTATTCTGTTATGTTTGATTTATGATTAAGCACAACGGTAGCATAGGGTGTAAAACATGCACGCAGGACTATGCACTATTTTAGAACTACATGAGTAATGTTGTATTTGTATGTGATGTAATATTTTCGCTTGAAATATCTGTTGCCGATGGTGATCTAATCACATCCGATTTTCGTTTTCGACATTGTTCAATACAACTAACAAATATCCAAGCTAATATACTTAAAAGAATCGAACTAATAAGAAGAATAATTGCATAATTTATATATTTTTCAGTTGAATTAAAAACTTCTATGGTCGAATTTATTGCTAATGGAAAAAGTGCCTGATTTGTGTCATTACTAATATTAATTATTCGATGAATATGTTTCATTGATTCATAATTTATTTCGCAGTATTGATTAATAATTGTATAATTTTGAAATTTTGATAATGAACAATCATTTATACGTAATTGAAATTGACATTGATTAAATTTTGTTTTACTTTTCATATGTAAATTTATATATTTTTTTCTCGAATGTTTCCATTGAATGAAATTTTTTGATAATTTTATATCAATAAATAATGATGAATTATCTATTTTATATTGATCAAAATCTATTTCAAATGGAAATATATTCATAAATCCTATAACTTGATTTAAATTTCTACTTGAACATTTATACATAATATATTTAATATTTACAATATGAATAATAGTTTGATTAGGAAAACATTCATGTGGTATATATAATAATGATTTAAAGAAAAATTTTCGTTCATCTATACATTGAAAGAATTGATGAGCAGATACAAATGTTGTTAGAGTAGAAATTTTATGAAAAAGAAATAGAATAATAATTAACACTGAATAGAAAGAAATATTAGCCAGAATTAATATACAAATATAAATAAGCGCTTTAATATTGATTTTTATTTATTTATATATTTAAGCAATTACAACGACGATTTTTTAATTTATGGCTTTCATTTGATTTTCTTGCTCGATATAAAATCGACAATGAAAATGATGCAGGATTATGGTAAAAGAGAAATTTTTATTTTTTGAATAGTTTCTTTTTTTTTTATTTTGTTTTATTTAGGCTTGAATGTTTTTATTTATTAACTGATGGTGGTAAACGAATGAATCTTGTCGATGATCGTCTACGAAGTATTGATGATTAATATTTTTATATCGAAAAGAAAAACAATTTTTTTTTTTTGTTTAATTTAGTTCGTCTTCTTATTCAATTTATAAATGGAATTTTAACAGGTCCAATGAGTCGAAATATACAAGCTTATCAAACATTGAAAGAATTAATAACAAATAATTGTCATTTACGAAATGATGAATTAGCATCCATTTTAGAATGTATATTTCGTCATTTAAATCATGATGATGATGATGCTACTAGTCTCAATCATGGTTTAAATCAAGCGGCAATTAAAGTAAAAGAAAAAATGTTTATAAATAATTTTAAAAAAAAATAAGATTTTTTTTTTTTTGCAGAGATCAATTGAATTTTTATTATGGACTATTAATAGTCATGTTTTAAATATAACATTAATACATTATTTTATCCAAAATATTGTTGATTTACATGATAAATATACATTTTCAACTGGAATTAATACAGAATTATTGCAAGTATGTTATTGATTATGAGTTAATGTGATGTAAATAGTAATAGAAATCAACTAGTGGATTTTGTTTACTAGAGATTTATACAAATATCTAATCGTTCTATTTGATGTTAATTAAAATAAATAGTAAAATTTAACGAAAAAAAACTTGTTAGTGCAGCTCTTTTGAGGCTGAAATGTAGAACTTACATGTGTTCTTTAACTTTATTATATTAATACAAAATAGGCAAAATGTAAAATCTAGAACGGATGATAGTTAATTCCGAATGATAATCGATTATCAGCAAATGCTATGTCTTTTTTTATTTCATTTTCATAATTTATTATATTTATTATTAGTCTTAGTATTGATTTAATGAATAAATAAACCTGTTGTACACATTCGTTATGTCTACAGTAGATCTTAATGAGTTAGAATTTAATCTGTTCATGCTGCTATGTTGATTATATGACCGTTGTAAGAAGTCAAAACATTATTATTGATGTCTATCATATAATCGTTTATTTACGCAAAACATCAGAAACTGTGTTATTTAGAATATTGATAAGTGAGTTTCAGCCACTTAAATCTCAAGGAAGGTTCCAGAATCTTCTAAGTCGTTCAGTGTCTTCAATTCTCAGCTATTAAGGTCTGTGAAGCTGAGAGAGCTACAAAACTTCGACTTACAACTTACACTTCCTATATATACAAGTTTTACAAAATAGTTCTATCAATTACAGAACGTTATTGTAAAAGTTTCTTAGATTCAAATTGATATAAAAGAGTTTATAACTTATTTGGAAGAAAATTATTTCCTTGAATAGAATGGTTAAGGAAAAAGTCGTTTCGCCAGCGAATTCATCGATCGTCTATTCAATTAGATGAACTACGTAGTTAGAATATTGGTTAGTATTAATATTGTGATTTCAACGAGTGTTCATAATTAATCGATCAACATTTGTTTGGTCTAACACAATAAATGATTCTCTATATTGGTTCAATTTTTTAAAATGACTGCTAATGCAAATGATACGCCAGAGCATAAAATTCTGGATCTCATGTGATTCAAATCGAATAAATATTGTCGATATACCGATAGTTCTTCTCCTATTGGTATACTGACTGTAGTACGAACAAAGGTGCAACATTTCGTATGAGATTATTATTTTGTTTTTTTGTTTTATATTTAGTTAATTACAAATCATTTAGCCAAAGCTCAATGGCATAGTATATCAGTCATATCTGTTCTATGTGGAATAATTGTTGAAAGGTATAAGACCTTTTCTTTTTTTATTATATGTAAAATAATTTTTTTTTTTTTGTATTTTGTTTAGATTAGAAACTCCAATCAATAATGATATTGATCCATTATCAACATTATTATTTGTTTTAACTCAAACATTAATTGATATTCATCAATATCGTTTAAAAACTCAACATCATGTACAATTATCAAATGATGATATAATACATCGAAAATGTTTTTTAAATCGAATTCAACAATTACCATTATGTTGGTTAACAATTCTTCATCAAGTATTAATGAAACGTCCAAATGTTAATATTATATTAATAAATTTTCAACAATTTTTAAAATCTATAAATGATAAAAATTATTCATGTGCTTTAAATTTATTTGGTATGACTGTATGGAAAATGATGGATGAAATTATGAAAATATGTTATCAATATTTAATTGTAGAAGATAGAAAAAAGAAAATTTTATTATTATTTATTAAATTTTTTTTATTTGTTGAAGGTCGATCGAAAGAGTACAACAACAACACGAACACTTTATGAAGATTGTTTAAATATTTTTGAAGATTTAGCAAATAAATTATGCTGTTTACCACATACAATAGTAACACATTTATTTGATATTAAACGTTTAACATCCATATCGGTTAGAATTGTTCGGGGTAAAAAAAAAATGTTTATTTGTTTGTCATTTGTTCTATTAGAGAACACCACTTCGTGAACAAATGATTAAACAATCATGTACAAAACTTTTACAGCTTATTCGACCAAATAATCCTGAATGGTCATTTGCATTAAGAGAACTTATTGAACATATCATTTTGTAAATATTAAAAACAAATACTAAGTTTAACAAAAAAAATAATTTTGATATTTTACTTAAATATAGAAACCCTAAAGAAGCAATTACAACACGTATTGATGTATTAACAACGGTATTTGATAAATATTTATGGTTTAAAATGACCGATCAGGTAAATATATTTGAATACTTTTTTCTCATATGATAATATATCATGAACCTTGAATATTTCCTTTTTGCTTGAAGGTATTAAGCTTTTTTTTTTTATGAATGATAGAGAAATGTGCAAAGTTTTTTTTTTTTACATAAAAAAATATTTCATATAGTTGTGGGTTCATATTTTTGTAGACTATACCCAGATCCGCACTCGGATTTGGAAGGACCCGCAGTTTCGTAAAGCCGATACATTAATCGGTGATGGCGGTTGAAATTTTTCGATGAATTGTTTTTTAAATTTTTTTTGATTTCGAGAAATTTTGAAAGGAAAATAGAAAGCGATGGTAGAGAATCCATTGAGAAGAAACTAATTTTTGCGCCAGAATTCAAGACTTGCGGGTGTAATCTTAATAATTCAACAACAGCAACAGCTCGCGATCTACGATTTTCAGCAATTGAAAGACGAAAATTCCGAACGTCTTTTTATTTTATACTATATAAATCAAAATTATTCT